AAGGAGCAAAACAATTTGTCATTTTAGTGATTTTGGACCTTTACGTAAAAACGTAAACTTTTGGGTCAAAGTACAAATACACAAAAGTATCAAAACTTTATGTAATTGCATAAAAGCCCCACAAGGACCCTAATTGAGTAGGGTGGCCGGTTTTGAAGCAAAGTAATAAAAAAAATTTCAAAGTTTTTGTAAGTTGGGTGTGTGTAATGGAATAAATCATTACACACCTACCCACTAAAATTTTTTTAATTTTTCAAAACAAATATCTAAGATATTTAAACATAAGAAATATTTCAAAACAAAAACTTTATGAAATAAATCAAAACTTTGAATCAAAACACCAAACCTTTTGTTCTTGGCAAGAACATATCAAGAACAATGAAGAACATTCATGAAAACCCATAAGAGCTCCATGGACATTCTTCACCCAAAAACATCCCAAAACCACTCAAACTTAAGGGAAATAACATACAACCATACTAGGGTACATAGGGGTTCCAAAAGTCACTTTAAAACACTTTTAACAAGTCAAACAAGAACCCAAAAATCCACCCTTTGGATTTGGCCGAATTTCCCCAAAAACATGGCACCAAATTTTAGCTCCAAAATTCATGCTCATATGAACTACATCTACAACATTTGAGATGGCAAATTTTCTAACAAAATTTACATTCAAAGAAGCAAGAATAAAGCTTGTAACAATTACAACATTCAAATCACAAACTATGAACTACAAAACCCAAAAGGATTCACCAACTACTAGACTTAGGCTCTTGATACCACTTGAAGGAAGATTTGTGAAAAACATGTTCATTTAAGCAACATCAATAGCATGCAATTAACAATTAAAGGCGGAATCATGCTTGTATGCACTTAAAAACAAAACATTTACCCATGAAATTCAAAGCCTAGTAGATAGGTGAACCAAGACTCAACTCAAAACAAAGTGAGTTGAGAAATCAATACCTTTGTAGATTCCTCTTTGCATAAGCAAAGGCTAATCACCCAAAGAGAGGGCCTTCATTCCTTGCATCTTAGATCCATGGATTTGGATGGATGAAAAGGTTTCTCCAAGTTCCCAAAATTGAGAACCTCTAATGATTCATCACCAAGGCATAATGAAGAAGAAATGAGTGACCTTGGAGGAGTTTGATTGCTAGATGATCCCTCCAAGGTGGCTGAAATTTTAGAGAGAAATGAGAGCTTGTGTTCTCATCCTTTCCCCAAAAATAACCCCTTGTAAATTTTAGGCTATAAAGTCCTTTATATAGTCCCTTCAAATAAGTGACCTAATGGACCAAAAGCCCTATTCTTCTATCATGGCCGGCCTATAGGGTTCATTGGGCTTTCAAGCCCTTTGTTTATTCAAGTTGTCATACAACTTGAGTTAATGGGTTTGACATTCAAATCCCATTGGGCCTTGCGGCCCAAAACTAACCCGAGGTCTTTAACGAACTTATTCGTTTGATTAATTAACATGTTAATTAATCCTAGCCTTAGATAAATAATTAAACCATTTAATTATTCTTACTCATCTCCGTTCTTTCTTCAAACTCTACCTTACTCGGTGAACGATCTATTAGGTTCCTTTTAGCGAGGCAGTGGGCGATTAAAAACTCTTTCTAATCGATTGTGAATTGAAACTTACTTTCAATTCTCCCGTTAGTTATTATACACGTTTAGGGCTTCCACAAACCATGGTTGACGCCTAGCAGCATGTCATGGTTACCCAAGCTAATCAGAAGAGGTGGAGAACCTATTCAGTTTTAGGATTACAAATGCAATACGGTCTTTCTCTAATACAATACTCTTGACCACATTGTTTGGTTTGATAGTTTATTCATGTCTACTATCCAATGTGAATCTTGTACTTATATGATTACCTTGAATGTGATCTGGAACGCATTCCAACATCTCATTCATACTCTGGCCAGAGATTCTAAATCATATCATAGAGTATTCTCCCTCAAACAGTTTGAAGGTTAGAGATCCCTTGTTGTGCATTCACTTGCCTCCATGGCTAAGTGGCTTAACCCCGACGATGCCGTGGACACCCTGATAGAGTGACTTTGACATAATCAAAGATCAAGTACCTAACCACAAGACAGCTGTGATGCCTCAGGTCAAAGGACTACTTTGCATTATCCCAACCATGAGTTCTCATGTGACATGAATATGAGAACTCCTCGTTGATCGTGTTCAGTGAACTCATTCTCTATTAAGCACCTACATGCTTGTCTTGGTGTCACTCACACCAATGACTTGAGACTAGTCACTCTCCCTGAGAGAAGACACAGCACGTACTGATCTTAACGGACTGTCAATGCCCAATTGGCAATCCTATGATCAGGAACGTTTAGGATGTGTCTACGAAAGAATGGTCTCATGAATCTAACTTCTTTAGATCGCATTCTCCCAATCACATATTCCTTGGACTTATCGTTTAAGCATATAACATTTATATGAGACGGCTCAAACAATAATGTTTGCCCTTTATATTAAACTAGATTAGTTTAACATGTGAAATGTCCATAAAGTATCATCATATGATTGGTTTTAGGGCACATTTCCAACAAAGCCCCCCAAAAAAATAACAAATCTAAAAAACCGTAACACTATGTTTGGATAAGAAAATTTAAGATTACTAAGAAATCTAAAATAATGGAAACTAAAATGACGGAATTTTATTTGTTAGAATTTGTGAATTTTCTTGTTCGGTTAATCTAAAAGAACAATGAAAGTTAAATATGGATCGTTCCTCTGTAGCATGCAGTCGAACCTACTTTAATGATCATGTGCACAATTTGCTTGCATGCCGCTTTAGGCACATCTTTCTTTCTTAGATCACGCTGGCCTAATGATGAAAATAAGTCTTTTAGTAAGCATATATAAACAGCTATTTAGTATATAAGAAATTCTTTAGTGGCCACACCGAAAAGTACATACGGTGGAGGTTAGTTAAAGATGATGTTACGTGGCATTTAGAACTAGCCTTGAAGTGAATGAATTAGAAAGAACGAAGAAGTAAGGAAATGAGACGACTCTTTCTTGAACTATAAATATGTGTATAGAGTCATTAATATATAAATGAGAGGTAGTAGTTAAGAAATGTGCTAGTAGTGGTGGTAAAGATGGCGGTAATGATGGTGGCTGGTGGCAACGGTATTTGGTGGTGGCGACTGGCGTGATGGTGGTGGTGGTGGTGAGCACTCTAATAGAACGCTATTCTAACCTTTGCACTCCTATTGTAATACTTCTCTGTATTACTGAACACCAATGTTTACAAAATCACAAATCACTTTGCATTGCACAGATGACAAGTATTAATACATGACTCGAAAGCTAAGGTAAGCCATAACATTTGTAACCAACTCCTAATATCCATTTAACAAACACTAAACAACTAAACCAATGACTACATGACACTTGGCAATCAATATCAATAGATTATTTGTACAATTTTTAGCATCGTATCATCTACCCCACACTTAAAAATGAACTTTATCCTCAAGCATGAAAAGTAGGAAACCTCTGTTTGAATGCTGCATAGTTTTTCCAAGTGGCATCTTCCTTAGGGTGAGGCTTCCAATGTACCAAACCCTCAGTAGTAGGTGAACTACCATGCCTTACCAACCTGTGTTGAAGAATTGCAATGGGATAACCTTCCACTAAGCCCTCCTCTATTACCACTGGCAATGAAGCTGTAACGGCAATCCCATAACCAATTATTTCTTCAAGCAAGAGACGTAGAAGACGGGATAAAGCTTCGAAGTAACGGGAAGGTTAATTTTGTAAGCAACTAGACCTACCCTTTCTAACACCTCAAATGGTCCATAAAACTTAGGCTGGAGTTTATGAAAAGAATGTTTTGCAAGAGATTGATGTTGATAAGGTACCAATTTGAGAAACACCATATCCTCCACATCAAAACACCTATTAGTTCGATGCTTATCAGCTTGTTGTTTCATTCTCACTTGAGTAGTAGCGAGATTAGTCTTGAGTTGAGATAAAATCCTGCCTCTTTCTTGCAAATTCCGATTAACCAAATCAAGTTTAGTTGCTCTAGACTCATAAGTAGGCACAACAGGTGATGGTTGGCTATAGACAACCTCATAAGATGTAAGCCTTAAAGAAGTATGAAAACTTGTGTTGTAATTCCATTTTACCCAAGGAAGCCACTAAACCCATTTTTTAGGTTGATGGCTACAAAACATCTTAAGTAGGTTTCAAATCATCTATTAGTCACCTCAGTCTGACCATCCATCTGAGGATGATAGCCCGAACTCATACATAGCTTGGACCTTTGCAAGGTGAAATTTTTTTTCCAAAAAGAGCTTAGAAAAATAGGATCTCGATCACACATTATCTTAGATGGCATACCATGAAGTTTAAAATTTGATCAACAAATAATTGGGCTACTAAGTGAGTAGTGTAAGGATGAGACATAGGTAAGAAGTGAGCATATTTTGAAAGTTAATCAACCACTACAAAGACCATTGCTTTACCTCTGCAAGCAAGGTTCTAAAAAACACTAGGCACTAGTCGGGCGGCGGGGTCTAGGCGGGCGCCTAGGCGGATTTAGGTAAATTTCTTGTATATTTTTTAAATAAGTGCATATTGACACTTGCAAAAAATTATACTTGTATGAAATCCATGAATAAAATAACAAAAGAATGATAAAATGCAAAAAGAGTATCCAACAAGTCCAAAATTTAAAAACACATTAAGCATATATGCCATATAACCATAGTGAGGAGTATTGTAGAATGACACATGTACAACAAGTTCACTATTTAAAACCACATAAAATGAAAAATAGGAGGAAAATAAGGAAATATAGTAGTGTAAGATACTTGCAAAGTTACAAAGCTAGGCATCAAACTCTTTTTCACCATATCCCTCCAAGTCTCTCTCCGTATTGAACTCAAACTCAACTTCTTCATTATCTCCTTATTCTTCCATGTCCTCATCCAATACAAAATCTTCTTCATGAAGTTCTCTTACTTCACAACATTTTTAGAACTACTAGGCTCTAGGGAACTACCTACCTCCTCTGATGTCTCTCCAATTCCCGAACCAATCTCAATTTCTTCATCACCACCCTCCACAATCCATCCTTGAACTATACTAGCTTCACTTGCAAGCAGTATGTCCAATTTCTTCTCCTTCTCTCTTTTCTTCTTGTTCATAATCCTTGCATTAAATTGGATATAGACTAAATTATTTAAACTTGTTGCATCTAGTCTATTCTTTTTCTTTGTATGTATACCTTCAAAAGAACTCCAATTTCTTTCACAACTGGATGAACTTGTAGTCAATGAGAGAATCTTTATATCTATCCTTTGCAAATTAGGCACACCATTTCCATAATTATACCACCATGCAACTAATGAAGAAAAAAGTACACAATTAGTAATGAAAAATAAGAAGCAAACTCAAATTTAATAAACAAAATATAAGCATATGTGAATATTCATACCCGAATTATAGTTTTCATCATTCTCAACGCATCCAATTTCGGCCAAATGTCTTCTAAATCCAACTTCTTTTACTTTATACTTGTGCATCTCAACATTTATCATTGGGTTTTGAACCTCATAGTTATCGGGGAAGAACTTATCAACACAAGTAAAAATCCCCTTCATGACAATTGTAGCATGTTGTATGCTTTGATCTTTAAAGAAGTAAAAAGGGTTCAAGAGGTAGCCTGCCAAATGCAATAGACTATCAAGCTGCTCACGAGCTTTTTCATCAATAACTTGAAGAATTGTTTGATAGTTGGCCTCATTGTTCTTGTATGTCTCTTTAATCTCCATCTTTGCTCTTTGTAGCTTTCCATACAAAAGCCCCATCCACAATTTGAAGTACCTTGAATAAAAGTTCAAACACTTCCAAGCAAAGTGAGACCCCATTTCAAAAATGTGCACTCACTATGGTAGCATATGCCGTTTTCCCCCTTGTAGTCTTGGAATGCTTGCATTGTTCTCATTCATCACTAGCAACCATAACCTTCACGTCTTTTTGCTTATCCATCAAGCTTTGCAATGTGAGGAAAGAAGTTGTAAATCTAGTGACTCTGGTCCTTACTATGTCTCTTTTCTTGGTATGCTTCCTCATCAATGTCAAAGTTTTATGATGTGCATAAATGAAGATAGTGAAAGCCTTTGCCTTGTCAATAACTCCCTTGAACCTAGGGAGATTACCAATCCCTTGAAGCATGAGATTCAAAGTATGAGTGGTACATGATGTCCAAAACATATTCGACCTCTTTTGCTTCATCATGTTTGCCACCACCATATTGTTAAAAGCATTATCAGTTACCGCTTAAATCATTTTTTGAGGCCCAATTTCGTCAACACACTTGTCAACATATTTAAAGATATATTCCCCGGTGTGTGCTTCGTTAGAGCATTCTTTAGAAGAAAGAATTATGGGGCCTTCCTTGCAATTGACACATAAATTCATTATGCTTCTTCTTTTTCGATTGCTCCAAGCATCGGTCATGATTGAGCAACCATTCAAAGCCCACTCTTCTTCATGTTTCTTGAGTGACTTTTTTACTCTTTCTACCTCTTCTTTCAATAATGGCTTCCTTAATTCGTATTGGCTTGGAGGTAGGTAACCTGAGCCAAATTGGCCAATCGCTTCCATCATACACTTGAAGCCATCATTATCAACAGCATGGAAAGGAATACCGGCTTTGTACACCCATTGAGCCACATATTGATCCATTTGAAGTGCTTTTTCCTTCCAAATTGCATCATGGATGTTTTGTTGCCGAGTCTTCTTGCTTCCCTCATTTAAAGAATCGGGATTGATGGCAAATACAAACCTAACCATACGTCCAAGAGTGCGAGACCTTTTCCTTGACCCAACCACTTCAATATCTTCTTCTTATTCTAGAAGTTGTTGAAGTTGCACCTCTTCCCTCACTTCCACAATGTGCTTATCCTTTTGTTTCTTCTTATTTTTTGCTTCTTCTAATGCGGCTCTACATTTGGCTTTATCTTCAGCCGAAGACTTTGTGCACACCGTTACATTTCACCTTATGTCGGCTACGTGTTGTTTTAATCTATGTACTTCACCACTAATGGTTTTGTTACACAACTTACATTTCACCTTATCTGAGTTTGTAGGATTTGCCAAGATCCCATATTCCCTTCCCACATCTTCCGAACTACGCTTCAACACATTTTCAACATTTTACATAGGAACTCCAAACTCCACTGATCAATCAGAAACAAAAAAATTAAAGGAATTATGAAAACCCATAAACATAATTGATCAGGGAAGTGAAAAGATGTCACATTTAAGATCAACTAAACTCCAAACAAATCTGATGCACTCTTTGAGGTTTCAATAGTAGTTTTTTTCCTTTTTTTTCTCTCACTAAAATTATGGAAAACTGCAAATAAAAGGAAGAACAATATGGAATTAGTTATTAGCCAAGAAATGAAAATTTTGCAAAGATGCAATATTCAACAAATGAATTTTGTACAGAAAAAGCTGTGGAATTGAGAAATTCAAACATATCAAGCCATGGAGAATTTAGATGCGAGAGTTAGTGGAGACCGTGGAAACTGAAATTGCAATAGCCAACAACTGCAGCTGGGAGCCTGGGAGAGACGATCGATGGCCCAAAAGGTCTGACAAAGTCACAACGGGTGCACCATGCACTGCAATTGAGGAAGAATTTGAGAAATGCGTAGATATTAAAAGTGACAACGGGACTTTTGATTTTGTGAAATTAGGGTAAAAGCTGCAGTGCACAAGTACTTTCCATACGATTTGCAAGAAAATGCTTCGGGTTACCACCGCCTAGGCTTGTTTTTAGAACACTATCTACAAGGTGAAAGTCCTACAATGAAGTCTATACTATGTCTGTCTAAACAGTAGATGGAATGAGGAGGGGGTTCAATAATCTAGGTGAGGTAATAGTCTCATTTTTGTTTTGTTTACAAACTAGACATGCTGCCACCCACTGCATAATATCAGTCTTTATCCCTTGCTAATAGAAGGACCGAGAAACTCTTTTGTAAGTTTTAAGACATCCGAAATGGCCTGTAACTGGCGTACAATGATGTTCAAAGAAAACCTTATCTCTCCAACAACCATTTGGGCTTCAGACAATCATTCCCTTGTATTTAAGAAAACCATTGTCAAAATGGTCTTTGGCTAAAGATGTAGAAGACCCATCAGTATACAATGAAAATTCATTAACTTTAGAAACAATCCAATGGTCTTGCTCCACGTCTCCTTATATTATCTAACCAACCCATATATAGATATGAAATGGTAGTCAATTCAACCTTCGAATGCATCTTAGAAAAGGCATCTACAACGATATTGTCACAACCCTGTTTATATTGTATTTCAATCAAATCCCAAGAGTTTAGAAAATCATTTTTGTTGAAAAGAAGTATGGGCTTTGCTTTATAGGAAGTACTTCAAATTGTTATGATTAGTTTTGATAATGAAATGCTTCCCTTGAAAAAGTGCCATTTTTTAATAGCATGAATGATAACCAACATTTCTCTTTCATAAGTTGACATACCTTGCGATCAAGGACCAAGAACGTTGCTTGTAAAAACTATTGGTCGGTCTTCCTGATGTAGTACAACACCAATTCCAGTATTAGAAGAATCTATCTCGATAGTAAAAGGTTTAGAAACGTCAGGCAAAGCAAGAAATTGAGAGGATGTCATGACTTCCTTGAGGCTTTGGAAAGTAATAGTGGCCTCAGTTGTTCATTTGAAAGCATCATTTTTTGTTAGTGCAGTCAATGGCCCACAAATCTTCCCATGGCCAAGAAACCCTTTAAGAGCTTTAACAGATTGAGGAAGAGGCCAATCTTGAATAGCCTGAAGGAGGGTCTGCAGCCACGCCTTCTCTGGAATTAACATGGCCTAAATATTTAATTTGTGGTTTACCAAAATCACACTTGGTTTTCTTCACAAAAAAGTTGATTGTTCTAAAATATCTTAAAAACTAGAGACAAATGGTGTAGATGTGTTTCCTAAGAAGGACTAAAAACTAAGATGTCATCAAAGAAAACTAGTACAAATTTTCTTAAGTAAGGTCTGAAAATCTTATTCATCAAACTTTGAAATGTGGCTGGAGCATTAGTGAGGTCAAATGGCACGACAAGAAATTCATAATTTCCATCATGATTTTGGAAAGTCGTCTTCTCAATATCATCACGATGAACTCTAATCTGATGGTAACCAGCCCTTAAATCTAACTTTGGCAAAAATTCAACACCAAATAGCTCATCTAACAACTCATAAATTAGGGGTATATGGTACTTGTCCTTGATAGTTAACAAATTGAGAGCCCTGTAATCCATACATATCCACCAACTGTCGTCTTTTTTCTTAACTAACAACACCGATGATGAAAAATAACTATTACTTGATTTGATAAACCTAGAATCAAGCAATTCTTGAACATATTTTTCAATTTCAGACTTTTGCAAATGACCATATCTGTAAGGTCTGACACTAGGAGGCTTGCTACCCTCAAACAATGAAATTCTATGGTCATGAGATCGAGAATGAGGCAAAGTGGTTGGTGTCTAAAAAACAGAAGCAAATAGAGAAAATTAATTTATCTAACTCAACTTGTTGAATTTCTGATAAATCACCCACAACAGCTACTTGTGTATCTAGTTCAATAAAGAACAAAACCATCCCAAAAGGCTCCTAAGTTGGCAACTTTTCTACTTGACAAGCAGAAACTTACTTAGGTGTAGGAGGGGTAGAACTGTAGATGCAATAATGCTTCTGTCCTAAGGTGAACTCCATCTTAAGCTTTTCAAAATCCTAGCGAATAAGGCCTAAAGTTCTCAGCCATTGAGCCCCTAATACCACATCGCAGCCACCCAATTGCAACAGATAAAGATCATAAATATATTCATAATTATGAATCTGCATTTTTACTTGAGGACAACAACTTTTACTAGTAATGGTACCCCCATTTGCTATCATTACTTCAAAAGACTTGTTAGCATCAACTTTCCACCCCAACTTTTTTGCAACGGGCAAACTGATAAAAATTGTGTGAACTCCCCGAGTCAAACAATACAATCATAGAACAATTCTTAATAAAGCCATCAAGTTTCATGGTTTGAATAGGTTGAAGGGCAGATGTACCATAAACTGCACAAGTTGTAATTTCAACATGTTGGCCTTCTTGAATCTCACAATCAACATCACAAGACCTATCAACAAACACATCCAATAGCAGAAGTTGTTGATTTAGACAAACATGACCTTTAACCCATTTTTTGGACAAGAATAACAAAGCCCATTTCTACGACGTTCTTGAAGTTCTTCAAAAGTCATTCTTCTCACATTATTGGCCCTAGAATTGCTGCTAATGGAATAGCTACTACCAGATAATGGAGGCAAACATTTTTTGGTTTTTATAATTGCTTGTAGAAAAATTAGAATTCTTGGGAAAAAAACTCTAACGTTTGGGTCTGAAAATTTGGCATCTATTTGGAAAGCCAAGGCAATTGCCTCATGAACATCATATGAACGAAGCAATTTGACGTCACGGCGCAACTCTGGCCTCAAACCACCAATAATACAACTTTTGAGCATTACATGACCGATCTCCTTGGTACGATTCGCCAATCGACGGAACTCTAAAACACATTTTTGAGAGAACCCATTTGCTTCAATTGAACTAGGGATTCCATGAAATCCTCAAATTCAAAAGGCCCAAATTCCTTACATAGTCAAAATAGTCAAAATAGTGTTCCACTCGATAAACCCATGCCAATGGATCTTCGCCATTGGAGAATTTTGTACAT